TAATATATTAATTTATACATTTATAATAATATACACTTATTATTTATAATATATTTATAATATTCATTTATAATTTATACATTTATAATAATATACACTTATACATTTATAAATATATTTATATTATGTATTATATAGAATATAATACATTTATATATTTTTATATGAATATATAAATATATTTATTTATAAATGTATTATAAATGCATAAATGTATATTTATATAAAAAATTATAATTTATACATTTATACATTTATAATTTATAATTTATAATAATATACATTTATACATTTGTAAATATAAATGTATTATAAATGCATAAATGTATATTTATATAAAAATATAAAAATCATAATATTCTAAAAATACTCAAAAATATGTTTCAAAAATACCTCTAAAAATAATCCAAAAAAATCTACAGTAAAAGTTTTTCATATAGTTTTTGAAAAACAACCCCAAAAACAACTAATCCAAATGGACTTGTTTTTCAGATTCGAAATGCTACAGTGGTGTTTTTGAAAAACAACCCCAAAAACAGCTAATCCAAACGGAGCCGTTTTTTGGGAGTTTGTCTAAAACTTTACTGTAGTGCACTGTAGAAGTTTTTGAAAAATTTTTGTAGAAGTTTTAAGGTGAAAAATTTTTTTGTAAAAGTTTTTGTAAGGTGGAAAAACTTTTTTTCCTTTTCTTTTTTTTTTCTTTCTTTTTCTCTTTCTCTTTCTTTTTCTTTCTTTCCTTTTTCTTTTCTTTCCTCCCCTTTGCTTCTTCTTCCCAGCAGCAACGCAGCAACAACACAACGCAGCAACGCAGCAACAACCTCCCAGCAACCCAGCAGCCTGCTCCACCTCCAGCACCTCTGCCAAGGCCTCCTCCAGTCCCTCCTCCCACACCTCCACCTGCTCCACCTCCGGCAACACCACCAACGCCTCCACCAGCCCCTCCTCCTACTCTCCTGCCTGCTCCATCCCCAACTCCGCTACCAGCCCCACCTCCTGCACCACCACCTGCTCCTCCACCAGCACCTCCTCCACTGCCACCCCCCTCTGCTCCTTCGCCCTCTGCCCCGCCACCCCCTCTGCCCCGTCAACCCCTCCCCCACCCCTACAAAAGCTCCTCCTCCCTCTCCCTCTGCCCGCAACCCCCTTTCCCCACCCCTGCAAAAGCTCCCCCTCCCTCTCCCTCTGCCCGCAACCCCCTTCCCCCACCCCTGCAAAAGCTCCCCCGCCACCCCTCCCTCTCCCTCTCCCTCTGCCGCCACCTGAGTTTTGCACATAAGTTTTGCAGTAACATAAATGATTTTGCTGGCAGGATAAGCAGCAACAACCGAGTGTAATTTTTTTTTTTTTTTTGCAATTTTCCTTCTCCCCAAGCTGCGGGATGGGGAAGGTGGCGGGGAAAGACAGAGGGAAAGAGGGGAGGGGGGAGGGAAAAGAAAAAAAAAAGAAAAAAGAGATCTTGGAAACCAACATATCGGTCAAAGGGGGAGGGGAGGGAGAGGAAAAAAAAAAGAGGAAGGCCGGCAAAAGTTGGCCCGAATAGTTATTGGCGCCGGAAGCGGTGGTGGAAGTGGTGGCCGGTTGGGTGGGGGAGGAAAAAGAAGAAAAGTTGAAGGGAAAGTTTTTTTTGTATTATTTTAAGGTGTGTAAGTAAAAAATTTTGATAAGTTTTTTAGGGTTCCTGTAGCAAAAGTTGTTAAAAAACTAGTAGCTAAAAAACTTGGCCAAAAACTTCACTTCCAAAATAGTAAAAAAAATTTTCAAAGTTTTTTAAACTATACACTTCAAAACATTCAAAAAAAAACACATGTCAAAAATTTTTTAAAAACTTCATCAGTAAGGTATAGTAAAGTTTTAGATAAACATCCAAAAATTAACTCAGTTTCCAAACGAGGTACACACCCAAAAATATTCATAAAAATACACAATTTTTTACTTTCTTTTCGTCCTTTTCTTCCTTTTGCCACATCTCAATCCACCACCATCACTATAGTAGTCAACATTTCGCAAGTACCAAAGTTGTGGTCTAGCAATCTCCTCCTTCCTTTTTCCCCTTCCTCCTCCCCTCTCTCCCTCTTCACTTCCTCCCTTTGCGCCTCTAGTCGCCACAACAAAAGTTAATTGCATGTGGGATTAGGTGTAACAAGGTTATAAACAGATTAAATTGGACAAGAGGTATATTGGTGCAATAATTATTTTGCGTTCAAGATTCAGACACGTGGAGTTTGGAGGTGATGGACTTGCAGTGGACTGAAGGGTGTAATGATCATTTTACACACTACTTAAAGTAAAATTCTATATATTTTTTTAATTAAAAACTTCTTATCTACCTATTATATAAGAAAGAAGTGAGATTACTGTAGCAATCTCTATGGCTGCCAAGTGACGCCCATCTACTTTGACACATGACTCATTAATCTTTTGAGTAAGCTATCTTTATTTTTTTTCCCTTTTTCTTTTGGCTTTCATTTTCCCCTCATTTCCTCCTTTCTTTTTGGCAAAAGACAATCACAAGAACCCTTATCCTCATCTACACTATCACTTGCATACTCAATTTTCACTCTGTACTCTTTTCATTTTTTTTCTCTTTTTTTCCTTCACCCTAAATTGTTTACTCTGTTTTTTTCTATTAAATTAGTTGATGCATTTTTTTTTCAATTTTTCCATAATTAACTAAATGAATGGTTTTTGTTGTTGGAGTGGATGAGGAAAGATAGCAATTTTTATTGAGTGAAGATAACAATTTTTCCTCAACTTATATTCATTCCAATTTTAGTTTTCATTTATTAAAATTGTTATTTGATAATAGGCTAATAGTGCTGGGATGGATGAGGAAGAATTTGACAAGTGAAGATCCAAGGTGAATGATGGCTGCCAAGTGGCTCCTGTCTACTTTGACATGCGGCTCATTAATCCTTTGAGGAAGCTATTTTTATTTTTTTCCCTTTTTCTTTTGGCTTTCTTTTTTCCTCTCATTTCCTCTTTCCTTTTTGGCAAAGACAACCACAAGAACCATCATCCTGATTTACACTATCATTTGCATGCTCAATTTTCACTCTGTACTCTTTTCATTTTTTCTCTTTTTTTTCCTTCACCTTAATCGTTTACTCTTTTTTTTATATTGAATTAGTCGATGCATTTTTTTCAATTTTTCTGTAATTAACTAAATGAATGGGTTTTGTTGTTTGAGTGGATGAGGGAAGATAGCAATTTTTGTTGAGGGAAGATAACAATTTTTCCTCAACTTATTTTCATTCCAATTTTAGTTTTCATTTATTAAAATGGTTATTTGACAATAGGCTGATAGTGCTGGGATGGAGGAGGAAGAATTTGACAAGTGAAGATCCATGGTGAATGATAACTGGAAAGGAAATAGAAAGGTCTATTGAATTTAAAATTAATCAAAATCTCTTAATTTATAGATAGATAATTATATTTCCATATTTTGATTTATTTAAAGTCTCTTAATAGTGAAAAATGGTTATTTATTAGATGAGAAGGATGATATGTAAAGGAATTGTCGGGGCTAGCAATTTAGGATATGAATAAAATATTTCGTATAATCTCTTCATTTTAGGTTACTGACTTGTATCCATGACAAGTGATTTATTTTCATTGCATGATAGTTTGAGAAGAAAAAAAGGTGTAAAACTAGATTTTAAAATCATTTGCTTAAGTTGGTTCTATGAATTTGTATTTTTATATAAGCTAGATGTGGAACTCGATATAGTATGACTATTTGGCTAAAGGAGTTGATAAATTTTTGTAAACTCAAGTAGTTGAATTGATTACTGTTGTTAAGGAATTGCAATTGGTGGTGGAAGTCAAAATTGTGACTTTTAGCCTATAGTGTGATTCGACAAAAAAATTGTTAAAAAATTCAATCTTGATTAAGAAGACATTTTTGCAATCAAACAAATGGTTGATTTCGAATTTGTATGTGTACATTTGCAAACATGGCAGTACATATTTTTATCTAATATTGTTATTTGTATCCTCAAGCTTTTTGGCAGATAATGTTATCACCTGTTGTAATGCCATTAAAAAGGATTTAAATGGATGGATTAACAACTCGCTTTTTCTCTGAAAAAGACAAAAAAAAAAAACAATGTGTAGGTTTGTATGTTTTGAAAAGGATAGAAAAATGTGCAAGTTTGTATCTTTTATTGATGTTGAAAATTGTGACAAATTTTGGTGACTTTCTAAACCTTTTCTAATTATTAAACTGCTAGAAGTATTATGACTACTTTTGGTTTAGTCACAATTAAAGTTTGCTGCTATTAAATTGATAATGTAGTGTACTTATTATCTCTCCTTTTTTTGGTATTATTATGCACACATAGTATTGGTTCAAAAATCTTTGTTTCATAAACGAAATTTCTCTTCATAGCAAATTTTAATTGTTTTGATGCTCAAATTTTCTCCTATGTTTACCAACAAGATATATTGCTTTATGTTTAAGTAAACTTCTAAGTGGCACAGCACGGCCAAGATGCCTCTAGTAATATATATATATATATATATATATATATATATATCTTATCTTACTATAAGATAAGAAAAGGCCTAAAGTTACTGTAGCACCTTGTTGTGTTGACACATGGCACAATAGATGAATTTTGGGCCTTTTTCCTTTTGCTTTGTACTAGCATGGTTCTGGCCGTGCTATGCAGCGGCCTACCCACTAATATGATCAACTAATATCATATTTATCACAACAACTCAATCACAGTTGGGCAATCGAGACCATATATCTATATGACCAACTGAAAAATGAAGAGGTAAATAATGAATATGCAAATCACAACCATAGATTACATAAACTCAATCATTCATGTCTTAGCAGAACACACACTTCAGTTCAAGCCATAGTTACATATTAGGGGGTTTAAATAAGCTTCATTGCCTATTGAATTACAACATTGATGGTTAAACCATTCATAGATATATTAGGATCCATTACTTTTTAAGTCAAAAGAATAATGGATCATTATATAATTCAAAAGGCATTGTCTAAGCAATCAAGACAGTCATCAAGGCAATGAACAAAAGATATAACAAAAGTACAGAATTAGACCATATCAATCTTCCTTTGCTTTAGCTTTCTTTGCTGGACTATCCTTCATATTGTCAGGTGGGCTATATGATTTTGCAGGTTCTTTGGCAAACTGTTCAGCAGTCTTTGTTGCATGTTCAGGAAGTATGTCTGCTGGTAAATATTCTGGAAATTCAAGGCTTCTTTTTGCTCCATTGGTTGTAGACGTCTGCCCTTCTTTGTAAGAACTGGCTCCAGCAATTTCTTCAAGTACCAACTCTGTCGTTGGTGTGAACATCTGATCCTTTGATGATTTTTCTGGATGCCTTGCTGATGAACTGCCAAGTGCAGAAGAAACTTGAGTGTTTTCTGGAAGTGCCAGTGGAAGGGGATGGTGCGATAGTTCAGCTGCAGTGTAAGCCTTGATGACAGTATTCTTTCTCTGCAGTTGACCTTGGAAGGGAGTCTCATAGGATTTCAAAAAACAGACAACTGTGTATTTTTTCAAGGCATCATTAAGTTCAGTATCTATTCCAAAGCCCTACAACAGAAAAATTTTTAAGTTAGGTTTCGTGAATTCTTGTCTATGTATATTTGTATTTATGGCTGAATATAAGACAAGAAATTTGTACTTACATCTTCCTGTGCTTGCTTAAGTTGTAGTGGAGTGAACTCAATCATTTTTTCAGCATCTTCTCAAGATATAATGCAATGTATTGAGCTCGAAGGATCAGTTATTATAATTGGAATGCGAGCCCTTTAGTCAAGTGAAGGAATTAAGATTAATATATGGTAATAAATGCGAAGAATGTTTAATTTAGAAGCATAAGTTTATGGTCTAACCTCAGTTCAACTTCACTTTGCTGTTTGCATGAAGGACAATGAATGATCTAGTCAATGTCAGCATTCACAATTTTGTAACAATTCACACAAGCAGTAGTCCAATATTTGGTGAATCCATATGCAAGTTTGACAGTTCCTTGCACCCAAGCCGCCTTTTGCTGAGTCAAGCAACCAAGAATGGTATTTGAATGTCAATTAGAGACAAAAAAGTTATATTTAAGCAGAATTTTAAAATAACAAATAGCTCTTACAATTGGAAATGATGCTTGAAAAGTGCTGATTGCTTTGATATCCTCTTCATTTGGAGGAGGAAGTAAACAGTTAGCATCACTGTATGTTTTAGCATTAAGCAAATTTTGGATTTCTTCCTTGTTCAAAGTAAACCTGAATGATTATGTTTAGAACACAAATTAAAAATGTACCAGTAAATTTAATTGATAATTTAAGGTAAAAATTTTTAAAAAAAGTAGACTTACCATTGCTTGAAAGAGAGGTCATCTGGGAGTGGAGGACTAATCAGAATTCCAGATGAATACCTTGTAATGAATGACAAAGCTGTAAAAATGATGAAATGGTTTAGTAATTATAACATAAAGTACTAAGAAGCCAAACATTAGAGAAATCATAATGCATAGTGAAAATTTTACTATTGAATGTGGTCACTTTAACACGGAAAGCTATGATTAGAGGGGCAGTGCTAATCATGTCTGCTATTTTGCTCCATTCATCATGTTCAAATTCATTCCAGAGAGTCATAAGCATGAGTTTCTTCCTGTCAGGTATAACAAACAAATTGTAACTACTGCCATTAATCTAAAATGACTTAATAAAATGGTAGTATTCAGGTTTGATTACTCTTCATTCACTATTATAATGTCTCTAGAAGTTCAATCTGGATCTGCCTGTTTTACTGGGAATGCGTGAATGACAAAGCCTCTAATATCTGAAACAAAAGTGTTGATATGAATGTAAGAAATCAATAAAATGTCAAATGACTGTCAAGTAAATTAAAAAATAATGTAAGAAAAATTACTGCAAAGGTTATCTGAATCAGCATATTTGTGCAGATCAGAGAAGTTTGTCAGCTCAAGTATGCAAGGCAACATAGGTGGCACAGGTTCAGCATAATTTTCAATCAAAGTCTTGTAGTTCAAAATCCAGGAGCATTCATAACTCCCAACTCTGTATGTTGGGTCAGCAGGAACCACAATTGCATTAGAAACATAATGGGTCCGTTTGGATTAGCTGTTTCTGGATTGTTTTTCAAAAACAATACTGTAGCATTTCGTTTTTGAAATACAAGTCCGTTTGGATTAGTTGTTTTTGGGGTTGTTTTTCAAAAACTATATGAAAAACTTTTACTGTAGATGTTTTTTGGATTATTTTTAGAGGTATTTTTAAAACATATTTTTGAGTATTTTATAATTTATAATTTATATATTTTTATATTTATATACATTTATGCATTTATAATACATTTATAAATATTTATAAATAAATATATTTATATATTTATATAAAAATATATCAATATATTATAAATGTATTATATTATACATAATACATAATATAAATATATTTATAAATGTATATTATTATAAATGTATAAATTATAAATGAATATTATATAAATGTAAAAATTAAAAATTAAAAATTAAAAATTTTATATTTTATATAAATATATATTTATGCATTTATAATACATTTATAAATATTTATAAATAAATATATTTATATATTTATATAAAAATATATAAATGTATTATATTATATGTAATACATAATATAAATATATTTAGAAATGTATAAGTGTATATAATTATAAATATATAAATTATAAATGAATATTATATAAATGTATAAATTAATATATCATAAATATATATTAATATTATGTATAAATGTATTAATATAATTAATATAAATATATAAATGTATTAATATTATGTATAAATGTAAAATTAATACTATGTATATTAATATAAATGTATCAATGTATTATATTATATATAATACATAATATAAATGTAAATTATAAATATACATAAATATATATATTATGTATAAATGTACATTTATATAAATGTATAATCTATATAATATATATTATATTATATTATATATAATTTTATAATATATATTTTTTGTATAAATATATTATAAATATATAAAAATATATATTAAATAAATAAATTATATATATTATGAATAAATAAATTATATATAATATGAATAAATAAATATATAAATACATTATTTATAAATATTTAATATATATAATATACATTAATATTAATTATAAATATTTGAATATTAATAAATATGGTGTTTATATAATATTTCAATTTGTAATATTTATTGTATATTTCATTATATAAATATTTATATAATATATAAATATATAATATAAAATTTTGCAATTTGTATAATATACATAATATTGTATATATATAATATAATATACATAATATACATTTATACATTATTACATATGATGTATATTATATATTATACATAACTTTATTATACATTATTATACACAATAATGTACATAATAATGAAAGTACATTAATAATGTATATATTATAATATAATGTACAAAATATATTATGTATAAATATTTATACATTTATGTATACAATATTACATACTATGTATATTATATTATATTATGTATAATATTAATGTATGTAAATATTTATATAATATATAACATATATAACATATAAATATATAATTTTCAATTTGTATATTTCAATTTACATATTCAATTTACATATTTCAATTTATATATTTCAATTTATATTATATTATTGTAAATTGAAATATACATATTAAATTTGTATATTTGGAGTTGTTTTTGATATAATGTTTGGATATGGGTGTTTTTGGAATTGTTTTTGAAATACACATTTACTGTAGCATTTGGAATGTGAAAAACAGTTTTTCAAAAACAGGTGCAAAAACAAGGAATCCAAACGAACCCAATATCTTTGATAAGGCTGCAGAAATTTGCTGAAGATCTTGATGTGGTGTTCATAAGTCACAACAGAAACTTTTGTTCCCTGATTAGGATTAGAAAAAGTTAGTTTTATATATATTATGAGTTAAAACATAACTGTCATGTTAATGGTTAATATCATATTTATCACACAGAAATCAAAATTATAGATATGAATACTTTAATAGGTGAGTATTCAGTTGCAATGAAACTATAGTTCTGATATTGTAGTATGTATACAGTTACATGAATACTAAGGATTTTTTCTTAAGCAAATGTAATGAACAGACAAATCATGAAATGTACTTATACAAAATCTGAAATATTCTCATAGATGAATTTAATGAGCTGAGAAATAGAAAATCATTTGCATACCTCAGTATCTGTGAGCAGAAAGCGCATAATTCGCCTCTATGGAACTTCACGAGTCAATTGATTGTGCCCTCTGTGAACAACTTGTGCGAGAATAGTCCACTTTTCTGCTCCTTTCTGAATGTCTAGCACTGAAGATATATGTCTAGGCATGATGACCTATATTGGTAGAGAAATCAGAGTCAATTAAACAAAATAATAAATTTCTAAACAAAAAAGGCCATGAATGTTAAAACCTGATAATGTAATCTGGGAAGCTTTAAGAATTTCTTTATATACTATATTTTTAGTATGATCAGTGCATGATTCATCAAAATAAGTTGGCCTGATAAGGACTTTTACAGCCGAAGCTGTTTTGGCTCTTGAAAGTGCAACATATAATTGGCCATGTGAAAACACAGGTTCTTTCAAATATATACCAACAAAATCTAAAGTTTGGCCTTGTGCTTTATTTATTGTTATCGCAAAGCACAAACGAATTGGAAATTGTGTTCTTTTATATGGAACTGGATATTGTTCATCACTTGGTGGCTGCATGGAAATTCTATGTATAAAAACTTCTTTGCCACAAAAATCACCAACTGCAATTTTAGCACAACTAACATTCTTGCTCAAACTCTTTATTATCAGTCTAGTTCCATTGCATAATCCTTCAGCAGGATCGAGATTTCTTAAAAGAATTATTGGGGCATTGAGTTTTAACAGTAACCTATGTGGAGGTAAATTGCTAGGCGTAAGAGTGTTCAGAAGATCAATGTATTCAGATTGATGATTTTCATTCAGTGTTTCATCATAGCTTAGGTACTCAGCCAAATCTCCTGGAAATTTTTTGATCAATTCATCATTGATTTCATCTACAAAGTTATTCTTTGTAGTTAGAATTGCTCTATTTTGTGAGCAATGCAGTTTCTTTGAAGGATCTTTAAATTCAGGATACACAATATTGATTAGCTTTTCAATTGCATCAGTCTCATTATTATAGTTAACTACAATTGAAGATGGAAGTTTTACTATGTCATTCTCATCTGTTTCCTGTGTTCCATCTCCAATTTTTAAGAGAAACTGCGTGAATGAAGGATCTAATTTTGCTCTCATGTTCTCTGTTAATTGCAATTTCTCTAATTTGTGCCATAATGGAGAATTTATCAAACATGCATTTATCATTTCAGCTTTTGTTCCTTTTCTAACAACTGGTAATGTTTGTCTAAAATCTCCACCAAGTACAACTACCTTTCCCCCAAATATTTCTTCTGAATTCATTAAATCTCTTAAGAGATCATCTAAAGCTTCAATTGCTGCCTTTTTAGACATTAGTGCTTCATCCCAGATTATAAGCTTTGCTTCCTTGATCATTGCAGCTAAAGAAGTTTGTTTACTGACCCGACTTGTTGCACCATCAAAGATATCTATTAGAAATTTAAATCTGAAATGTGCAGTCCTTCCACCTGGTAAAATGGAAGCTGCAATTCCGGATGTAGCTGTAGCAAGAGCAAGATAACCTTTAGATCTAACATCAGCTAACAAAGCTCTATACAGAAATGTTTTTCCAGTACCACCTGGACCGTTAATGAAAAAAACACCAGGTCTATCTGAGTAAATTCTCTCAGATATGACTACAAATGCTTTTTTCTGTTTTTCATTGAGTAGCTGAATTGAATTTAAGTCAGTTTCTGAAATGACAATGTTTCTTTCTGCTCTTAATTCTCGAGTTTCATTCTCTATATTTTCATAAGAGAATCCAATAGGAATCAAATTATATGAATGTATACTTTTTCCCATGGATTGCAAAAATCCATCAATTTGTTGCAAGACATTTCTTTTCACTTGTGCAGATGTCATTGCTGAACATTTGGCAAAATCTTATGACATAGAAGATTCAAAATTTTGCCACAATGCCTTTGGGTCATTAGGGCAAGAATAAACCAAAAGTGTTGCAAAAAGTCGCCTCATTTCGTAGGGCATATGAAAAAGTGAGGCTTCTTGTAAACAGATTTCTTGGTTGTTATCATTTTGTAACAAGCCTCGAATTAATGCTGCTTCTTGGAACGTTTCTAATTGAACTCCATTAAAGGTTCTTAAGTCATCAAATGAAGTTGGACATCGAACCTTTGATAAGAGTAATCTCAAGTAGTATCGTTCTCCTTCAGAAGAATGAGCAGTCATTATTCGGCCTATTGATTCACCTCTTTCTCTCAATTTCCAGTATTTTTGATTAGGTAATCAGACAAAATGATCAGGAAACTCTACATAAGTACAATTTAGATCCTGAGCTGCTTTATCTGTCATATTCATGTAAAAAAATTCTGTGAACATTGTTTTTTTCAAATGATAGTTATTGACAACATTTTGAAGATTAGCTATTTTTTTGAAACTCATTGGTTGATAATTCTCCAAATGTAATTGTAAATGAATAATAGGTGGCTTTATTTCACTCATACAAAATCTAAAAATTCTCCAGGCTGCTTCAGGTGGAGAAACCTACCTAGCTGATACATATTGTTTAATTTCATCAATTTCTGAATCAGATTTATTATTTACTACTAGGGGTGGCAAACGGATCGGGGTCGGGTTGGCAGGTCGGGTTGTGGTTTAAGTATAACAAAGAACCTGCTGACCCGAACCCGACCCGCCAACTCGAAACGGGTTTGGGTATCTGACACGAACCCGAAAATTTCGGGTTGGCGGGTCGACCCGAAATGACCCAAAATTTAATTTTAATTTATTAATTTATCACTGTAATTTCTAATAAAATAAATTTTTCACAAAATTAATTACATCATCAAGTAATAAAAATTTAAATAACTAATTTCAAACCAAATCTAAAATAAATTAAACACCATAAAAGTGTTTTATCCCAAACCAAATATAAAATAAAATAAAACAGCATAAAAGTAAAAAATAACATAATATATTATTTGTCCAAATATAATAATTTTAATTTCACACAAGTTAAATAAATTCATTTAGGATTAAATAATTAATGCCTTTGGAAAAAAAGAATGATTTAGTTTAGTTAGATAAAATAATTTTTATGTTTATTAAATTAGTTTTAATTCGTAAACGGGTCACATCGGGTCATATCAGGTCACCACGGGTTGACCCGAAATTGACCTGTTTTCTTTTCGGGTTCATCGGGTTCGACCCGATTCTGACCCGAACTTCCAAAACCTTAACCCAAACCCATTAATTTCGTGTTAGGTTCGTGTCATATTTTCGGGTCGTGTCAGAAATTGCCACCCCTATTTACTACACAGAAGTTAGTTCTATCATGACCTTTATAGATATACTTGTAAATGTACTTGACTGCCTTAATTGTAGAGCATATTTCAACATTAAGATGGCAATCAAATTTAGCCAAAAGATATGGATTGTATGGTACAACCCATCTATTATCTAAAAGAATTGATTTAATCTTAATTTGAACTCCATCATCTCTCCTTCGATATTCAGGATATGCATTCAGAGTTTGAATAGTTTCCTCACAGAAATTTTTAGGAAAATTATTCTTGCAAGTTCCATTTTTTCTCATGCATACACTTGTTGGATCAAGTGAACCACATGGTCCATGAAGCATATGTTTAATGACCAAATTATATAGATGTTCATTTTCCTCTTTATTTGGTATCTCAGCACAGACAATTTTATCATATTCTTGAGGGGTATATATCTTGAATTTTGACTTTAAAATTAGCAAGAAATGTGCATGTAGTAGTCCACGTTTTTTATATTCAATGACATAAGTGTAAGCTGCCACTTCACCAAAGATGCATTTTTTCAAAAGTTCATCTTTAAGCTGCTCTAACTTAGCATGAAATACTCTAGCAATCAAATCTGGTCTGTTTTGTGCCTCTTCTTTATCTATTAAGTGTTCTTTTATTTCTGGCCAATTAGGATTGCAAGTCATGGTCAGAAATATATCTGGTTTACCATACTTTTGCACTAATGTCATTGCATCCATGTATTTACGTTTCATATTTCTTGGCCCTCCAATAAAGGATGGTGGCAATATGATACGCTGGCCAACATTACATGCTTGACTCTTACCTGATCATAAAGCATCTATTATGCCTTTCAAGAACTCTCTCCTAATTTCCTCTTGTTGTAATCTATAGAAGTCGAGTCTTTGTGTCTCAAGCTTCACATATTGATCAACAATATATTGTTGTAGAAGTCGAGCAAAATGTAATAACCAAGATTCATCATTGTCCCTAATCTGAAGTTTATAACAATAATATTCTCGAAGGGACACAAAATTTGGATCTTCATGTATGCTTTCCATTGCTGTGCAAATAATAATAGTACATCATTAAATGTCTAATCATAAATATTAAATATGTAAAATGAAAGATCGTGGTATATAGTTATTGTACTAACCATGTTCTTCATTTTGGATTAATTGTTCTGCTGTAGCAGCATTTGCAGGGGAAATCAAATCTGCTACAGGTTGCTTTTTTTTCCTCTTTCTTCCATATACTTTTGCTCCTTTCTTTGGTATTCCTTGGTGCCAGCCAAGATCACCAAAAGGAAAAGTATTGGATATTGGAGTGGATCATAACATCCATAATAGTACTGTATATTTTTTGAAGCACCACTATGGGTATGAACTCTAATATTACGCCTGCCGGTTTCTCCATTTTCTTGCCCCTCAACCCACAAACCAGCAACTTGTGAAGTTGTTGGTCTATTATAAACTCTTTGATCAACACCGGGCAGAGTTTTTAATACAATGTAGTAGTTATCTAAATTAGGTACCTCTCTCAAATTTCTAAAAAATTTTGCATATGGATTAGACTCAAGAACTTGCATAAATTTTCTAATTACACTTTCAGATAGTCTAGGACAAGCTGCTAATCGATTGCTACTTCAGTTTCAAAATCATTGAAATATAACTGTAAATTATTACTATGACCATTGCTTGAATTGAAATCATTCAGAAAATGATATATTTGTCCTTGAATTCTAAAAGTGTAAATTCCTTTATTCCTTTTTGAGAGAGTCAGATCAGTTTTAACACCGAAGGAAGTGAATCCAAAATGATTATTATACGTTCTAATAAGAGTTCTAAAAGATTGTGCCTCTTGTGAAGATGAAGTCAATAGGTCTTTAAAGATATATGGAATTTTGTTTTGAGCTAAAACAACTTCACCATCTTGACAACAAAAATATGCTGTCTCAGAAAAAAAACTTCTTCGCTCCACAATGAGGACAATCTAGTTGGGTTGGTAGGATATCAGCTTTGTTAGGAATTATATCCAACAAAGCTCTTCCTGTTTTGCACCTTCTTCCTAAAATACAATTATTTTACAGCATTTAGTAATCAAACCATTCAATTGATTTTAATGGCAGTGGAGAAAAACATGTTAGAAAACTTAAAAAGTATTAACTCTAGACCTGGCTGAGTTTTTTTTCAGAGATGATCTGCGATGCTTCGAACGACATTGAGAACTATGCTGAACATCAACAACTGAGGAACAATGATTAACAATTGTGGTGTTTGTTTGCTTTTCAATTATATTTGTAGAAGCAATTGATCTAGACTTTGCTCTGAATCTTTTCTTTTTCCATCTAAAGTAGGCATGTCTTCTATATTCTTTCTTATTTATCACCTCTCCAGCATATGTGTCAAAATATTCAAGAGGCCTGTTATTATAAGATATAACTGGAGTACTACCTATTATAGGTATATGCTTATTCACAAAGAGGGGAGGAGTATAATTAGTTAGTTGCATGTCTAGATTTGGTATTTCAGAATAACCATTTCTCCCTTTAACATTTGTGACTTGCTCACTCTGAAACTGACTTCCTATAACAAATGATTGCTCATTGCAATTCACTTGTGATGAACCAGCAGGCTGAACATCAGACAGATTGATTAAAGATGAATTCATTGCAAACAAACAATGATTGTCAGTAAAATCAGAGGTATAATGAATTCCTCCAGCATTTTCTGGAGGGAAGCAAACATTTTTACCTCTGCAATCAGTTGGCAGAATTAGATTCCTATCGATGTGATTTTGTGAAACACATGTTTCAACAAAGTGATTTTCACAAATGTCATTCTCACTGTTGATTACAAAAGGAGAATATGGCTGAGAAACAGAAGAATCGACAGTAAATTTCATATGCTCAGTCAGCATATTTAAGTTTTTCTTTTTGCTTCTTTCTAACATGCTTAGATCAAAAGCATAATCAAATATCTCATCTATCAGTCTAAAACTTGAACTAAATTTTCTTTTTTTCTTCATTATGAAACACAAAAGATCAAAATCTAATTTTACTATAAATACTATAAAGGAAGTAAGATACTAAGCGAAAAGCACTAACAATGACAAAATCAAAGCATCCTGGAATAACTAAAACTAACTAATATATATAGAATGACTACCTTAATAACCCAAACTACAATAACACTAAATTATGTAATTTTTCAATACATAAACAGGTAACAACATCATGCAGCATTTGAAATTAAAAAAGAGGCAAAAATAAACATAAGCTAAACCGAAAAATAACCATCATAGCATAACATGAAACACATGGAGGTCGTTAATTAACGGAAGGCAATAGACAGATGCAACAACAATGAAACAAAAAAATTGCAGTTCAAAATAGAAGGAGAGAAAATAGAAACATACCTATATTTTCTTTGCTCGGCTGAATGTTGGCAAAAGTCGGGCAACATTTGAAATCAATAAAAACAGAGAAAAAAATAAACATAAGTTAATCGATAAATTACATCATAATCATTCTTTTATGCATAATATGAAACACATGACAGTGTCTAATTAACGGAAGCCAATGATAAACAGGAGGGAAGAACATTCAAAGTAAAAAAATTG